CCTTTTCAGAAATTCTTCTCCATCACAGATGCACCTATGTTTTATTGAAACGCTATCCCAACGACGCAGACGTTCTCCGATTGGTGTCTTTAATTCGTTATCATCATGCGATTGTTCACGTAGTGACATCGGCAACTCCATCTGGAGGATCTCAACCACAAGCAATGTATTCTGTGGCATCGAAGACCAATGGGATAGGAGCCTTTCAATGTGATCAGAATTTCCTATTAGTGAGTCCTTTTCAAAAAATTGCCAAATAAACACAACACGAGTTCTAAAACTTTTTGCCTAGACCACCAATCAAAAATCCTTCATAACTCGCTTCAGAATCGTGATTTTCAGATTCTGAAAAGTATTTCAGAACCCTAAAATTTTAAATCACTCTATGCTGATCTTTTTTCCAGGGTCGTCAAACAGCCCGTGGCCTAAAACTCCAAGCGATCTGCTCGGCCCTCGGTGTGCCTCGAATAGACCCATCGAGAATGTCTGCGTCTCCCCGGATGAATCCATTTCGAATTGTTAAAGGATGCGCTCCGGGATCTGTACGAAAAACGGTGTCTTCTACGACGACGTCTTCTGGAACGCCTTCTGGAGCTTCTGGACGTCCCGGATTCTATTCGTCGAATTTGAGATCGGCTTCTCGAGGACCTTCTGGAGCAGGAATTGGAATTCCCGAGGATCCGAGCCATGGAACGTCATCGTCTTCTTCTGGAACAACGTCTTCTGGAGCCCCGAGAAGGAATTGAAATTCTGATTTTTTGAATTTTTGATTTATTAATTTTCAAATGCGCTCTAATGAGAATGTGGATTTTTTGGAATTTTGGAATTTTTTGAAAATTCCAGAATTCCACAATTTCAGAATCTACAAATCCTGAAAATCGAGACTTTCAGATTTTTTATTTTCTTGAAAATTTTGAAATTTTGGATTTTTAGAATCTCCGAATTCTGAACTTTTTCTGAAATATCGAAAAATCGATCATCGATTTTTCTGATTTTTGTGAAATTTTCAAAATTTCTTTGAATTCTTCAAAAAACTGAAATTTGGATTTTCAGAATCTAAGAATCTGGCATTTTTCTGATTTTTCTGAAATTTTCGAGTCTTTCAGAACTTTTTAAATTTTACAAAAACTCGATATTTTTGAAATTTCCAGATTTTCTTGAATTTTTTTTTTAATTTTCGAAAATTCTGGAATTCCTGGTTTTCCGAATTCTCAGATTTTTTTAATTCTCTGAAATTTTCAAAATAAATCTGAAATTTCTGGTTTTCAGAATTTCAGAATTCTAAAATTTCCAGAAAAAAATTCACTAAAATTTCTAAAATTTTCAAAAATTGATTTTTCCGAATTTTTTAGAAATTTAAGAAAAAATCAATTTTTCGAATTTTCGATGTTTCATATTTTTCAGAAAAAACTTCAAAAAATCTCAAATTTTCAAAATTTCCAAAAA